ATCCATTTTTAGAAGCTAACTAGTAGAAGGTACCTTAAAGAAGATGTCTATTTAACTGTAACATTCAAAAAGTTCTAATAGCGGGTGGGGGGTGGGAAGAGATAGACTGGGATTTCAAAATTGTAGAATAGATAGACAAGATTATACTGCATAGCACAGGGAAATATATACAAGATCTTATGGTAGCTCACAGAGAAAGGAATGTGACAATGAATATATATATGTTCATGTATAATTGAAAAATTGTGCTCTACACTGGAATTTGACACAACATTGTAAAATAATTATAAATCAATAAAAAAAGTTAAAAAAAGTTCTAATAGCAAGGCTGAAATTAGAAAATATATTAATCTTATACATGAAAACATTAGTAAATGATGCATGGCATCTCAAATAATGCAGTTACCAACACTTCCTAAACCAGGGCAAATATTTTCCTGACCTGAGAAAATTTTGAAATATTTCAGTGCAAAAACTTTAATATGGAAGTATGGAAATAAGAATAAAATCACACATAAAACCTTCACAGAAAAATCACAGTCAGTATTTTGGTGTATTTCTTTCCTTTGTTATCATTCCTCTTTTCTTCTGCCAAGTTCCCAAAAGATTCATGTAATTTTGAATACTGTGTTTTCATTCTTGTTATATCATATTTTAAATCATTAAAATTTACCCTATAAGGTCTGGATTATATACAAGGCTACGTATGTACCACAATTTACTTAACCTTTCACCTAGAGCTAGATATTTTAAATTGTTGCCATATTTATGCTCTTAAAAATATTCAGAAGCAGCTATTTGTATGTGATCTTTGCTTTGGAGAGATTTCTTCTTAGAAGACAGAAAGGACTTTTAGACACGTATAGCCTAACTCCTCCCACGTTTCCTTTCAGAAACGAGGAAACTCTGGAACAAAGAACTTAAATTACTTGCTCCAAGTCAATCAGGAAGTGAGCAGCAGAAGCAGGACTAGAACATCATGTTTTCTGACCTGAACAGAAATGAGGACCTTGTTCTCAGGAGACAAAATGAGAGAATCTTGAGTTAATTCAAAACTGAGCACAGTTAAGTCCACATGTCCACCTCCCCACTCCAGCCCGACACCCACTCTCCACCAAAGTAAGACCTATTTAAACGGTACGAGGAAACTACTACCTCAATGATCCGGCTGTCGATCCTGTTATAGGGATGCCAGAGGCCCCGGTCGTCGCGCCACTGCCATATCGCGCCATCTGTGTTCTGCGCATTTCCCTTCTTCAGCATGGTGTCAACTGCAAAAATGCCTTCTTTTGGTAAACATGGCATAAGTTCACTGAAAACAAAAAGTGCAATTATTTTAATAAGTTGCTTCCAGCGCTATCAGTGAATACCAGGTCTCTACAGTGAAAATACTCTCGTATAAACTAGGTACTAGTAGCGCAATCTTTACCAAATCAGAGATGTCAGTTCATACAGTTCTTGAGGACTTCGGGGAACAAGGTCAATCTGTTCCTGACAACTTCCATTGGAGGCACCACACAGGAGGAAGTGAAGTGTTTCTGCAATGTCTGTAAAACCAACAGCAAAAAGCAAATGCCTATGAAACTAGTCACAGTACCATATTCAGAAAGCAATCATTCCCTAGGGGGAAAGCAATCAGAATTATTTTCTTACACAGCAATATATCATAGAAATTAAAGCAAAAAATCCAAATGAGTTGTAATAAAAACCTTAAAAAAGGTATTAAGATTTTTAACAATTTCTTTATGAGAATTTCAGTTTGAGTCCTAACCTTCTAGTCAGACAGCTAATCACAAATCCACTGCAGAGACTTTCAGGATTTTATATTACTTCCCTTGAGGAGCAGGGTGCTTTGCACAAAAGTACACTAAACATATATTTTAGCCTCAATTCAAGTATATTTGCATATCTGCCTTTGATTCAAACATACAGATAACTTGTGACCAACAGGATAAATACAACAATTAAAAGCATCTAAATCTTACCATATTGTGATCAGAAAAGACTTTACCTTACATGACATTAAGCATACCAAGTAAATACAAAAATCATTAAAATATCCCCTACCACAAGATTCCTCCCAGAAGACATCAGTTTACGGAAGAATTTGCATGAAAACCAGTCTAATGTATTGACATATGAGTGGAGGAAGCTCCTGGCCTCCAAAGGTTTTAGTCAGTCCAATAGCTACAACCTAAAGGCAGGGTTGTGGCTCTGCTGGCTGTGACATACGTTTCTATAAAACACTATACATATGCAAAATACACATAAGCATTTCACCAAAATGTTTTGCCAGTAATCAGCAAGTATTCTTGTCAAAGAAGATATTCACTGTTGATCTGGGCAGAGGGCTGTGGATACTTAAATCTCTGCCTCGTTGAAATTTCACAAATAGTGATTAAAATTTTTAAAAAGTTCTTAAAAAAGTCATTTTGCCAACTTTTCCAGGAAATGTGAATATATGGCAATGGTGCATTACAGGGATTCATTAACCTTTTTTTTTCTCCTAGGAGATCAGAGGATGACAACAAAATGGAAAGAACCAGAGAGCTTTGTGTTTCCTTTGTGTTATTATAGTAGGAAAAAAAAAAGTCTGGTAGCCTCTATGTGATGAAATGTGCGAAAAACTTCCTAGGATATACAAAAGAAGTGAAAATACTCGTAATTTTAAAGAAAAAATCCCAAAACGTTAAAATCAACAAAAGTCAAGACAGCAATTTCCCAAACCAGGATGTAGGAAAATGCTGTGCCACACGGTAACAAGAGCTGATCTGTGTTCAAACTTCAGAAAATGGTAATGCAGGCAAAACTCACGGGGCTCCAAGGGATTTTAATAAGCAAAGTGCATTGGGGCTACTCAAAAAAAAAAAAAAAAAAAGTTAAACCTTTTCCAAACTTGTCTAGGCAGAGAGTACTTTGCTCACGGCACAAGCAAACAGCATTCTCTGGAATACCAAATTTGGGAATGACTCAACACTTTAAGAGGAATCTCTTCAATAAATCACCTCAGCAACACTAGTTTTCTACAAAATTCTGTGCCACCTGCTAAAATTCACAAGTAACGCAACTGAATATAAAACTGATTCGCCCCCCCACAAAAAGTACTATTATACTTACTATTCTATCTGATGCAGTGGGACCAAAGGCTAGGTTGTCAGTGAATCTCATCACTGACTCCCAAGGTAACATCCTCGGAGATTAGAATTATGGATATGAAATTACTCACAATTATAGGTGTTTCACACAAAAGTGACCAATACTCTACTAGCAGTAATTACAACATACAGATGTTTTCTGAAGCCCGCTGTCTTCTGACATTAACTTGTGAACTCAAAGGCTTGAGAGAATAATGGACAAATGCAATAGCAGTGCAATGACACTTTACACCCTGCACACTGGGAAGGGCTTAGAAATACTGAAACAGCCAAAATCGGAGACATTCATCTGTGTAAATAAGTTCCAACATTCTGAGGGAAGAAAAACAACCTGGAATCAGATAAAACTGCTGGAAAACCTAACGTGGGCAGAAAGAACTACCTATTAGCCGAAGAGAAGCAGTTACTGGTAACCTAAAACTCAGAATTCTCCTAATGAAGCATCATTACTTAATTGGTAATGTATAGAAAGCAGTGATCTTGGGTCTGTGGTCCTATAACCACAAAGGGTAAACTTTTAATATACTATATACTTTAAAATTTTTGTGTAGGAAGCATTTCTACATCGTTGGAACACAAATTTATTATACATTAACATTTTTCTTCCTTTTACTATTCAGTGCCTATGACATTAGCAACCCCCTCTGCTTGCTTAAGTTGACTTTACATATTAACGGAGATTAAAACACACACGCACACACAAGCTGCTTTTCCTACTTAAAAGAGAACAATAAAATAGCACTTACTTTGCTTCATTAGTTGAACAGCTAAAGTTGGACAATTGGAACACATAAGAGAAAACATGCGAACCACCATTATAAACATCCCAGAACTTAAAATTGGTGGAGTCACTACCAATAGTTGTTGAACATTCGTAAGCAGATCTTTGGAGGCAACCTGCTGGAGTAAATTCTTCACAAACAGGAAAAAAAAAAAACCAAACTGTTACATCATGAGTCAGCAATTTAACAACTTCATGAAAATGCCAACAAAGACTAAATGCTTACCTCCTCATGTTGGAAGTTGTCCACTAGACGTGCAAAACAAAGGCAAGTGCTTTCTACTGACTTTTTGTCCTATTTTTTTTTGTAAAAGAAAATAAAGTTTGTTAACAAAAAACATTTTCACTGCCATACATCACTTCCTTATCTTCTTTCCTAAACCCAAATTCTTTAAAAGCACAGTGAACCTAAGCAAGCAATCAGTAATGTCATAATTTCAAAGCAAAGAGGATCAACTGAGAGAACCTCTCTCCTCCAGTAAGGCCCCAATGGATAAAAGTAAACATACAGAAAAAAAGGAACAACTTTTGCCATTGCATAATTTCAATACATAAACAAAAACTATAATAAAGAAAAAATAAGCATCCTACCATCCTAAAAAGCAAAATGTCTAAAACACACATACACTAAAAAGTTGTAAATCGTTAAGTATGTGCATGAGCCAGAGGTTTGCTGATAATACAAACTAGGCGTATGTTTGCTATATTCACTATGAAGACAATTGAAAATACTATTAGAGTGGTCTCACTGAGAAATCATTTGGAGTAACTCTCATAAAAACAGAAAGAACAACTTAATGGTTTAAGTATTTTGACAGACCTTGTTTTTTCCTAATTGATAAATGGGTTTTAGATGTAAAAACTAGACTAGCTTGTGTAAAAATGAGAGTAATTCTGGTATTATGAGCCCTACACCTCCGCTGTCACTACTTAAGTCTAGTAAGAATTCTACAAAGCCAACTATTTAACTTCTCTGATTCTCATGTCCTAAGTAAGGTGCTGACCTCACAGCTAAGTAGACAACATAGTTCTAGTCCCAATAAAGCCTGCTACGTTTTTTAAAATGAACAATGAATGGCACTACTTGTGTGTTGATCATCTTAGAAGCAAAATACTTCAATGATTCAATAATCAGTATTATTTTATCTACCTTCTGTAAATCCCTCATTTAACACAGGCACACCTCGTTTTATGGTGCTTCACTTTAGTGTACTTTTCAGATACTGCGTTTTGTTGTTGTTGCTTTGCTTTTTTACAGACTGAAGGTTTGTGGCAACCTTGCACTAAGCAAGTCTATCGGCGCCATTTTCCCAGCAGCCTTTGCTCACTTCATGTCTCTGCATCACATTTTGGTAATTCTCAAAATATTTCAAACTCTCCCCCTCCACCAGCAAAAAGACTACAATTCACTGAAGGATCAGATGCTGGTTAGCCTTTTTTAGCAATGAAGAAGTATTTTTTAATTAAGGTATGTACATTTTTTTTAGGCATAACATTATTGCACACTTAATAGACTACAGTATAGTATAAAAATAATTTTCATATGCACTGGGAAACCAAAACATTCTTATCATTCACTTTATTGTGATATTTCACTTTATTGCAGTAGTCGGAACCGAACCCACAGAATCTCTTGAGGCATGCCTGTATATTTCATGTACCTAATTTTCCCCAAGAAGATTTTAAGCACACTTGGTAAAGGACATGATTTAAAAGCCAGATTTTTAAATATCTCTTAAGCAATAACAACACTCTGAAACATTACAAGAAAATTCTATTACTCTACAAACTTGAAGCTTACCTCACAATCTGTCCTTACTAGAGGCTCCTGTAAGCCCTGCCTCACACCGCATCACCAGGCCCACTGGTTCCATCTCCCGAACAACTGCTCCTGCTCTTCTCCAACCCCAGCAGCTACAGTCTGCATTTTTCATTTCATTTCTGTCTGGGACACAGTCTCATCTCTTTTCTGATCTTAACCCACATCCTTCTAGTTTTGTCTGCCTAACCCAGTATCTTTCAGGAAAGGGTGATCTTTCCAAAAGGAAGTTCTAACTATATCACACAGTAAACATTCGGTGTTTCTGAAATAATAAATTTAACCCTTAAAGTCAAAATAGGTGAAGATATCAAGTACCTAAAATAGTGTTCACTTGGGTAAATCCACCAAAATTTTATCAAATAACCTAATATAGCACATGACTAGGTAATAGTTGAAAAAACATAGATCAAAACATTTCCAATTTAAATATACAGTTGCAAGATTTAAGTTTCCACTTGAAATTGGCATTTTAAAAATGTAATAAAAATGTTCTATGACACATAAAATAGGTTTATATTTTACCTGATGGGTTAGCCTTTGGGTAAGTAATGGGAGGGAATCTGCCACAAAATGAAATTCATCCGGCGTGATACTCTGGCAGCAATTGGCTGCAATTGCTAGTGCGTTTCTTTGGGCATTTATGCTGAAGAACTCTAGATACAGCAAGCAGTCTGCCAAACCACCCTAAAATACAGGAAACTGTTAAAGTGAAGAAATATCCTTTTTCAGAAATTAAAAAAAAATAAAGCCTACGAAAGTCTAGCACATCACTTTGGAACAGTATGTAACTTACAGAGGCTGGAACCTAGGAGCTAATCTAAATGTGGATCTAAAATCCAACAGTATATGAAACATAGCCCTTCAGCAACAACACTTACCGCCTGTAGAATGGCTTTACTGTGTCTACGCGATAACATCTCCAAGGCCGTCAAGGCCTGCTCAGCCACATCAATACACTGAATAACTTGCAGCTGGGAACATATAAATAGGAAACTTAAGGTTATCATTCAAGTTCTTTTATCATTGCTTATCTCCAACATAAATAAACACATTTTCTACCATTTCCATCAATCTATGCTGCCTAACCTGAAACCCACCATAGGAAACCAGTGACTTGTGAGCTTAGGCTGTAACATATAGCCAATACAGTTTCCTTCCAACTACTTTGTTTTAAAATATTGAAAAGTATGTTTTACAGAGAGAATAAACTAAATTCAATTACATAACTTTAAATCTTCATATTTAAAATAAATGAGTTGGTTTATATAACTAATTTTAAAAATCAAGTTTTAAACTTTATACCATATTCCAATGTTATCAGATAATGCAAATTTTATTGTGCATTTAAAAGAAAAAGGTCTTTAACACAGACAAAAACACAACCTAGCACAGACCATATGAAAAAATTTCCTTTCTCCACTGACTCACTTTATGACCTTGAGCAAGGCACTTTGTCTCAGCCTTCTCAGCTGTAAAATGAGGGTTTAAATAGCTATCAACCTCATTGGGATGTTTTCTAGAAATAATGAGATTATTTTTATTTTTAATCAAGTGCTCTACGTTCTTCGCTGAAAGATTTTATACTAACATAGTAATTGCTATTATTAAAAATTATAAAGCTGGGTTGATTTTACAAATGCTTTATTAGCATCAACTTTTTAAACTACGTCCCTGCTAAACATGAAACATTTCCTGGAATCTTGGCAAAAAAATATAGTTAGATAATGGATGCTAAAAAATGTGTTTTAATGTGGCCTTACTATTTGATATACTACTTTAGAATTCAACAGTCAAGAGTTCTCAACTTGATTCCCCTATGCCTGCTTTTGAACAAGCTGAGCAAAAGTCGGATTACCTTTTCTAAAAAGACAGGAATTGCATCTACTACAACAGCAGATGATCGAGGAAGTGCTTCCATCATGTACGTTAAGGCTCGACAAGCATGGTTCATCTAGAAAAGAAGCCATCTTTACTCAAAAAAAACCTCAAAATTTTAATTTGGAGCGTTTTTAAAAAATATAGCACATACTTACAATATCAAAATTATGCTCCATCTGCAGTAATGTTATCTGTTATAAAAAAGTAATAACAAAGTATTAAAAGCTATCTGTATCTTAGAAGTCTGACAAGTATTTCTTCTTCCATTTCCTCTACTCCCCTCTTCAGAAGCCCATTAACATGTCATTAAGGGCTTAGCAAGTGTCAATGAACATTTAATACATAAATAAACAGACCAGCAATGCAGTGACATTTGTTAAATTAACAACTATGAGTACAGATTAAAGACCACAGCTTAGAAATTCTTGTTAATCGGCTGCTCTAAATTGTGGTAAGCACCATTTAACTCAGCTGTAAAATACACAGTCGTCTAGGATTTAAACACAATATTGATCACGTTAGGAATTAACTCACTAATTAAAACTCAAATTAATGTAATTATTCTACAGATGCATGAGTTAGTCGAAGTGATTCCACATTACTTTCTCCTGAGGAAAAGATCTTAAGCAGATTTCAATCATGTTTTTCAAAGAGGAGGATGAAAGAACTACTAGGCATATACTCTCCATCTTCCTGGAGCAGCCAAAGTTGCCAAAGAAATGTCCTACTTGGGGAAGCAGACAATCATTCACTGTCTTCTAGTTCAATGGAAAAATCTTAATGCACTGAATTTAAGCTGTAAAGTACCCTTCAATAAAATATATGACTATAATAACAGACATCAGATATTCTAAGATAATACTCATTTACTATCAATGTCTTCTCAGCTCTGAATTATGCTGGATAAAGTATATCTACACACCAAAGGTCCTGATAACTGTGTGAAACACACACACGAGAGTGTACACTGTCTCAAATTACTCACAGTCACTTAAAACAACTACTCTAAATTAAAAGGAGTTGTTATGTTAACAGAAAAAGTAATAAATTCCCCAATTCTTCAGGTGGAATGATCTTTGTAAGCCCACATTTGGCAAGGACTGCTGTAAACAGGTTCTTCACCAAAAATGACTGTTTATGGTATATGGTGATTGATGGATATATATTCATAATATTCAACTGTGATGAAAGATAAATCCAGACAACTCATTAACACTCATTATTAATAGCACAAGCCGACTTGTGTAGGTCCCGTAAGTACTTAAATCTAATCAACAACCATCCAAAGTACGTAAATTAGATTATGTGTTAACACTTCTGCCTAGATTCAACAGCTCCTTTAACTAATAAAAACTGCATTTTAACAGAGACAGTATATAGTAAACCTAGTTCTCCATTACTATTTATTTTTAAATGAACAACAACAAACAAACAAGGAAGTTTAATTCAGGTCATAAAAGCCAGCTATTGAA